TTATATAATATATATAGTATATATGATAAATAAACCTCCACAATTTCCTTGGTTTAACAACTCGATTATGATTAATAACAACTCTGTAAACATGAATTTTCTAATAACCTAAATAAATTACAGATAGACAAACATAAACTAACACAATTAAATCCTAAACCAAAATTTATTCATGCAAGACAAATAATTTTATATTTATTGAAGAGCCAGAAACATATTTTTTTTCAAAGAGCAAAAGTATTAACAATATTAAAGACAAATTATATTTATAACAAAATTTTCAATAAAAATTAAATTAAGATAAATTTATAAAAACTAAGTGAAAGCATGAAACTACCCATAAATATATTTTAACGCTAGACACAATTTAAGAATTAAAGTAATCTATAACACGAAGCTTTAAATTTAAAATTACAATTTAAAAAAGATTACAATAAATTAATTACTTTTAAATTTAAAAAAAATTTAGATTACCTATAATTTTAAGCTACTAAACATTATCTACTTAATGTCAACTTAGACATTTTGAACTCGTACCATGAAAGGTTGAAGGGAAATCTGTAAGCACGCGGTAAAGAAAAGTCTAGAAACTACTTAAGTGTATTTTACAGATACAGAACCGTACCGTAACTATAAAACAATACGCGTAACTATGCGCACTATTAATAATATTCATAGGCTATTCATTATAGGCGGATTATTATTATTGCTATTATTATTATTATTATTATTATTATTATTATTATTATTATTATTATTATTATTATTGCTATTATTATTATATTTTCTTTGCCGTATAATTAAATTTACAATGAGAAAAAACCATTCATGTATAAAAATTGGCCGGGGCAAGAAGAAGACATAAACTGTCTTATCGCCAAGCCCCGTTTACATTAACGTCACAAAGATACAAGTTAAAAACTAAAAGGTTAAAAATTGAAGTACATTACAATATTAGGTCGACAAATATAAGACACAAGTAATAAATCGAATAAATGTTATTTGTCTGTTCAAAATTAATAGTATATATATTTTTTATTTTAATAAGAAATAAACAAGATATACAAGACAATAGTAAATGAGTAGTGATGACTTTTTAAGGTTTAAATTTTTTAAGTGATTTTAGAAGAAATCTTTAAAATCGAAAGTTTTTTCTAATAGAAAATGTTTAGATTCTCTTTTGAATTATTCTAAGGAGATGCCTCGAAGAATTTTATTTTTAATTATATTTTTTAAAAAACCTTTCCATATAAATGGTCCCCGGTATTGAATTTGAAATGAATTGAGTTTTAAATAAGATCTTGGAATATCAAAATTATCAGATGAAAATTTAGTGGGATATTTATGAGATATTTCGGTAAAGTAAGAATGAATTATATTAGGAGATAACGCATGTTTTGTTTTAAACGTAAATAGCATAACTTGGTATATATTAAGTTTGTAAATATTAAGCACATTAAGTTTCTTTAAAAGAGATTCACCATTAACAGTTCTGTTAACGCCAAAAATAATCCTACAAGCATGTTTTTGTTTGCTATAAATTTTTTTGAGCTTCCCATAATTGGTACTTGCCCATGCAAGATTACAATAGGAAAGATAACTATGAATAAATGAGAAATATATAATTTTTAAAGATTCCGTATTAAGAAAAGGTTTAACTTTAAATAGCATTGAAATATTTTTGGAGATTTTATTTTCAATAGATCTAATATGATATTTCCATGATATATTTTCATCTAATATCACTCCTAGAAAGTTAATAGTTGACTCTCTTTTAATAACTTTTTTGTTCATAAAGAGATCAGGTAGTTTTAAAAAAAGGTTATCACCTTTACTAGGTTTGTGCAACAAAATAAATTTAGTTTTCCCAACATTTAATGAAAGTTTATTATTCGTAATCCATTCATTTATTTTTAATAACTCTTCATTAAAAATTCTAAACAGATCTTTAATATTTCTGTTAGAGTAAAAAAGATTTGAGTCATCAGCAAACAAAATAACGTTTAGAATTTTGGATGCTAAATAAAAATCATTAATGAACAGTATGAATAATAAGGGCCCTAAGATTGATCCCTGGGGAACACCACAAGTTATGATATGTTTTTTTTCTTCATTTTCTGTATATATTATGTATTGTTTCCTGTTTGAAAGGTAACTTTTAAACCATTGTAAGTTATTGTTTAATACTCCATACATTTCTAGTTTTTTTATTAGAATATCATGATTAACAGTGTCAAATGCTTTTGACAAATCAATAAAAACTCCTAATGTATAGCAATCATTATTGAACCCATTGGATACATAATTTATTAGATCGACTACTGCATGGTCCGTTGAATGATTTTTTTTAAACCCAAATTGTTTATTAAATAGAATATTGTTCTCAGTTAAATAGTTGTTAAGTCTATCATACATAATTCGATCTAACAATTTAGAGAAACATGGTAAGACAGAAATAGGTCTAAAATTGGACATATTTGTATCATCTTCAGAAGACAAAGAACAAATGTCCCCTTGGACAAACTTTTGACTGGAAAACTTGTCTTCTTACCGTACACATCAACTCTGCATAAAATTTGTCATATAAACAATAAAAAAATTTAACATCTTCACGAAGATGCGGCAAACCATGCACATTATAAACAAAAAAAGTGTTGCCATAAAACTCAGATGCTTTTTTAACAAAGTAAATAATAAGTTTTTGTGCATAATTATAATTATATATTCTCTTTTCTTTATTTTTATCTGAAATAATTTTCATAGCTATTGATAATGTAAGAAAATGTCCAAATTGAAAACTGCTTAACCCACCTTTAAGCAAATTGCATCAGAAAAAATAAAAAATTCACAAAACTCAGCCGCTTTTAATTTGTCAAGGTCATTTAAAGAGCGTAGTTGCCTTACAAATTCACTAAAAAATTTTACTTTTAACAATTACAAACTATTTGAAATAGTATCTATTTGCCCCACTGATAATTGATACTCCCTCAGACCATTTTTTAAAAAATTTACAATACGCCTTACAACTCCAAGACGCATGTTATCTGAAGTAAATCATTGAACACATTATAGACCAATTGTAATTAAAAGCGATAAGCTGATTTAATCAGCCTTGTATCCCATTTCATTAAATTTTTCATCAGTTCATAATTCTTGTACAATATGATTTTCACCAATAATTCTTCTATTCCAAGCTCCTTTAACTGTACATCTTTCACAAGCATTGTATCCGTTATGATTAAATGTACCTTTAACAAATGCTCTTGCAGGTGCATTACAAATAATTGCCCTATAGGGCATTTATTTAGCAAAAAATTTAAAGTACAAAAAAATACCTCATCTAACTGAGTCAAATAATTGTACAGAAATTCTACACTTTCTTAATCGCTTTCCAAATTCTTGTTTTTTTCTACATGATTGATGTTTTGCGTAAAACTTGATTTGCCATTATTTCTCGAGTTTCTCTTCTTTAATACAAGAAGATGGTTCTGCTAGAGCAAGAACATTATAGTGCATTTCCGTCAGTTTCTTGAAACTATTTGAAACAACAATCTTTGACGTTGGGAGGCATTATATTATATTTGTTAAAAAAGTGTTAATCTTTGAGACTTTATATTAAAGAAAACGTACTTAACAAACTCTTTAACTTTTCGCTTTTAAAAAATTATTGCAGGCATTTTTTTATTATTTTAATTTAAAGGCGACTAATAGCTAATAGCTAATAATCAACTTAGTGTAAATATGACTCAGATTGTTTTATGCATTTCGATATTAAAAAATAATCTTTATATGATTTCGTATTTATAGGTATAAAGTTATATAAATTTGACTAAGCTTGACACGTTCTTATGAGATCATATTATGATAACAATTTAGAAAGAAACTATTAAAGACTATTGATATGAAAACAACATCATGTTGATCCTAATCATTGTTTGAAGAAATGCAGTAAATTTTTTTAGTTTAAAATTGAGAATAAATTAAAATAAGATTATTATTCTCTTAGGCTTTAGTGTTATAAAAAGATCTCATAATAATCTAATGAAGATATTTTACCTACACTTAGATGTAATTTACAATTATTTTCATATTAATATAAGAATATTATGATTGAATTGTTTAAGTTAAAAATATTATTTTGGTTTTTTAATAAATAATAGTTGAATAAATTTCATGCGTTTGACTAGGTTTGGTGTTTTTAACTAAACGCACAAAAAATAATTAAAAATAACGCTCTTTAAAGTTGGGAGGCAGTATATTTGTTTATAAAACTGTTTTTCTTTAAGATTTTATATTCAAAAAAACTCGTAAAGCGTATAATAATTGGATAATGTAAAACTTAAGAAAGTAACTTCTATAAATATATCATTTGTTTGACCAAAGTCTTTTTTTGAAACATTTTATAAAACAACTTAAATTTTATTAATTTCTTCCATAAATGTTGAATTGTTTTCAAAGGATTTAGCTTAAAGATAATGAAAATGATGTAACGCCGCTGCAATCTTTTTATAGAGCCCTGCATAACTTTTTAATATTTGTTTTTTTGTTGTTTTTTTGCAAGAAACATGTCATGACCAATATAAAACAATACACAATGATAAAATAACTACAAAACTTGAAAAATTTAAAAACAAGTTAGAATTGTTTAAAAATGATGTTGTTTATAAAACATATGCACATGATGTTGTATATAAAACATTACACAATGATGGAATAACTACAAAACTTAAAGAATTCAAAAACAAATTAGATTTGTTAAAAAATGATGTTTAAAGATGTTTTATATGTGTTTTTTTGTTTATTAGAAACAAATTTAAAAAAATTTCTAGTGACACAATATTTGAACGTTTATTTTTAATTCTTGTCTTTCAAATTTTTTATTTTACTTTAACAATATAAACAATATAAATTTTTTAATCTTATTTAAAAATCAGACACCTTTAATTTTGAATTTTACGCAGATAAAAGATCAAGATAAGTACAGAAAGTCGAGCAATGAGGAAATGTCTACAAAACTAAATGCACTGGAAGACAAAATCAACTGTCTAGCAAAGGAAGTGGTAAAAGGCTTTTCTTTATTTAAAGTTTATGTTTAATTAACTTTAAAATGAAACGATTTCGACAGAGATTCCAAATTTAAGTTTTTTTGTTGAAGTTGTTTTCTATATCTAATTATATGTGTAAAGTTAGAATAAGTTTCTGATAAATTGATATTGGTGTTTTAACTCTAAAACATAAAACGAATCGAAGGAAATACAAAACTCTGTAATAAAAAAATGACTTTAAAACTAAAGGAGATTTAAATCAAAGTACATTCATATGGACATGATGTGGTATATAAAACTTTTTTTAACTAATGTTGGAATCAAAACTTTGATTTAATATTTTACAAAAATTTAATAACTTTGTATTTCTTTTTATATTGTTTTGTATTTATTTCTATAATATTAAATTTCTTTTTTTTTTTTCACAAATGATTTTTCATGATATCTTTGTAAATTAGGAGGCGGGTCAGAAACAGTTTAAAAAGTCAATTATTGGGACAATGACAAAAAAAAATAATCACACTAGATAACAAAATAGATTCTTTGAAAAATGAAATGATGAAAAAAATCATTTAATTACAATTCTTTTAAACTGATCCAAACATAAAACAAAATAAAACATTAAGTTTGCTATATACGACTTAAATTATAATCATGTTGTCAATAAGTTAATATTAACTGATAAGAAATAATGGATTTAAAAAACTGAAAAAAAAAATTAAAAAAGGTGAATTAATAAAAAACTAGTAAAAAGCAACCCGTAATACGGGTTTTGGTCGGTCTGCTACATAATTAATTTCTAGTGGCAGTTTTCCACAATTTAATGTTGCAAAACCTTAACTAATACCCTTTTAGAAAATTGCCTTCAGCTTGAAAAAATTAATCCTTCTGTAAAATTAACATAAAATGTATGAGGAGGTAAAATAATTTACCAACTACTACTGAACATTTACTACTTAACATTATTTAAGTAATTTACAAATGGCATAGGTCATAACAGTGTAATGCAGAACCATTTTCATCGACCTTCCTAAGTTTAACAAAATACGTTTTTAGTTACTGACACAAAATTTTAACACTTGGTCATGCTTTAAATTGACGAAAGTATCAACTAAATCCTTGTAATAATTTTTATAATATGAACCATTTAGATTAAAATGAAGTTAACTTATATTATACAGGAATTATCAATTTTTCGGTATCCCCTTGATTTATTGTTCTTTAGAAAAGAAAATTGTTAACTTAAAAATGTTAAATGCACACATTTAAATAAATTTATTAAAAATAACATAATAATTAATAATAAAAAGTTTATTATAAATGACTACGCAACTGAGGACCTTTCAAACGAAAAAATTTAATTTACGATCAAACATGGGTATAACAAATTTTTTAAGGCATGGGTATAACAAATTTTTTAAATTTTTTAAATTTTTTAATATTTTACATCATACGGCAAACCTAAAATAAAAATTATAAGAGATAAGTAGACATAAAAATTTGTAAACCAAGCTGACCCGACCCGGGTCTTGTTAAGTCTGTTCAACACAGACCATTTCTGTATCATTTGTATGGCCTCTTTATTTCATTAATTTATCAATATTATTTAAATTATTAGGCATAAAATAGATAAAATATAAACTAATAGCATATATTTATATCTTTTTAACTAACAAAAATTTACAACAAAAAGAAATCAGGTTTTTTTATTTTACAAATCTTACTAATGCGTCTTAACGTAATTCTAAAATAAAAAAGTAATGAAATTATGATATCATAATTACAAAGAAAAAGAAAACAAAAACTACCACACAATTACCAAAAATCGATTTACCTATTTATAGTAACCTATTTTGAAACTGCAGTTAAAGGTTTATCAAAAATGTAACTATAAAACCTGTTTCAAAGTACCAAAGCATTAACAATACTAAAAAAAAAATCAAACTAAGATATAAATTGTTGTTTTGGCTTTTATAATTTAAATATATATATGCAACTATAAACAAATATAACTTTATGGAACACGTATTAACACATTTTACAACTATTGAATGATAGATATATTTACCAAAAACTATGAAAAAAAAAAAATAACGATAAATAAAGTTATACATACAAAATGTGCTCACAACCTTTAACAGTAAATTTTCGAAATGAAAATCTAAAGACTATAAATTAAAAACTTTAAAAAATATAACAATATTTATGATACATTTATTTACCTACTATACCTTGAATAAGATGTTTATCAATTTTGAAAAACAAACTATTAAATGCTATACTTCTTGAAAATCAAGCATATAGTTGACCATGAGAGAAACACGGTTTTTGAGATATTTCTTTTGTCTATATGTTTAATTTCGCTTTATGTAATACATGGTGGCCACTAAGTTTTAAAAGTTGAATTCCCGGACATTTTGTTGCGTTTTCAAGGACATTTTATATCTTATTAAATGAATATTATCAATTATCTTTACGTTATATTGATTGAATTATAGAATATAATATTATTACTACTATCTTATTTAAAATTAAATTCAAACCATTTATATAAAAAAAAATTTTCGCATAAAAAATTTAATATTACTTTAATATTATTAGTATTTTTTTAACATGACTCAGAGAAAAAAAGGACATTTTTGAAACAAATGTAATTTTCTAGGACACTTGCAAAAATCCAGGACATTCCAGAACTGTGGCCACCATGGTAATATATAGACGATCCCAAAAAAAAAATACTTGAAACTAAAAGATTTTATTTATTACAATATTTGAACAACCAAGGGACAATTTAAAGAATTATATCTTTAAACAGCAAATTATCAATTGCAGTATTAAAAAATACCCAAGAGCTCAGTATTTACCGAGTTTAATCAGAGCTCAGTAATTACAGAGTTTAATCAATTCTCTCTTTATAATTCTCAATACTAATTCTTATTAAGCCTCATCTAAGAGAGAGACAGGAAGTGTTTTTAAAACAAATGTTAGAAAAAATAAAAAAGTCATGCAATAAATAACAGTGACTGGTTTTATTATGCTACCAATAAAAAAAATTATTTTTACCTTAACTAAAAGTTAATTTCCAGCATTTCTTAATTAAGTTCCAGCTTCTTTCTAACTGTTGATAAATGATTAATATTGTAAATTTCACATCATATTAAATTTACAAAATTAAAACCATGTTTCAACAGTAAGCAAAATAATCAAGTGATGACAAAGACAACTAAAAAAAAATGAACGCAATTATGTTTTAGATTACAAGAAAAAAAAAAAAAAAAAAAAAAAATTAAATCATTTAAAATTGAAACTGTTATTATTTGTTACTATAAATAGTAAAATTCATACTTTGCTTTATTTTAAAGAGTCTAATGTTAAGTCAAATAATAGACATCAACACCGCTTGACACTGAATTCTGGCAAGTAAGTTTTCGGTTCATCAAAATTTCTTAAATATCAACGACAATTAATTTTATCACGCCTAGATCTATTTCTTTCATATGACAACAATTTCAAGTCACCTATAACCATTTACACTAATAACTTCTTCGAACCTATTTATATACATTTGTTATCATTAAATATATATTACCAGTGATTATACTACTGTTACAACTGAATAAATGAACGTTTTGTATTTTTACAACTGAAAAGTATAAAACGAAATTTATTGATATATTTTTTTAATTTAGCAAAGAATTTAGAACACAATGCAAAGTTATTTGCATTGTGTTCTAAATTCTTTGCTAAATTAAGAAAGCCTTCAGGCACAACCTTAATGCACAAAAATAATAAATGCAGAATCTTGTATTAAAGATGAAGCAATGTCAGTCTAAAGTAATATATATATATATATAATATATATATATATATATATATATATATATATATATATATATATATATATATATATATATATATATATATATATATATATATATATATATATATATATATATATATATATATATATATATATATATATATATATATATATATATATATATATATATATATATATATATATATATATATATATATATATATATATATATATATATATATATATATATATATATATATATATATATATATATATATATATATATATATATATATATATATATATATATATATATATATATATATATAT